ATATTCAACAGGGTCAAATGGGCTTCCACTACAAAAGATAGCACGTCCCTGAAAATGATAGCGCGACATGTAGATAAGAGCCAATGAAATAGATGGCTGAGAATTTCTTATATGGGTACCAATAAATCCATTTACCTCGCTCCATGCATAAGCCTCTTCAGCAGTACATTCTGATTGTGAGGTCGGGTTTGATAGAGCGAGAATGATTGGTTTCTGCATATGGACCGTCCATCAAAGGTTAAAATTTTCAGAGAATTTTATTAATGCATGGTTAGCTAAAGTTTAAATATATGGAAAAGGTTACTCAAATTCCTAAAAAAAGTTTACTTATTTACTTTTAAGTAAACTTTTTAAGCTTAGCAAAACAAGATCTTAGTACACATCCAACCAGAAGTCTGTGTTTGGAGGCAGTGAGGAGAAGAAGAGAGACAGAGAGAGAAAACCTCATTGAAGGATGCCATGGCCTCTACGACTTCCTTAGTAAATGTTCGTCCAACACCTGAAGTTCCTATCAGAACTGTTGGTTTTATTGCCTGAATGCCAAAGAGATTTAAGATAACAAGAAAATATGCAAGCCAGAATTTTGATAAATAACGTAAACTCCCTAGTTAGAACATGAATGTCCCACCTGAACTGCATTTAACAGTTCCTTAACAGGTTTGTGGTCGTGAGCCCAAGGCTGTTTGAAATGTTGAAGGGACTCCTTACGAGAACTAACCACCAATCCCTATTACAAAGTTAAGAACGTTTGAGTAAAGAATATGTTCTAGATAGAATCTTGATAAAATTATACAAGTATGCAATAAGAGGAAAATGCAATAGATAATGGACATAACTAAGAACCTTAGAGTCCACGAGCCAAACTTTTTTTCGGGTTTCTTCAATTGGAGTATCTGTCTGTAAATGCAAGTTGAAAATTTGATCAGAAAGATTTACTGAAGAAAATAATCAAAAGAAGACAGCAAAATAAGTTAATACCTTCTTGGATATCTCAAGAGCTATAAGCTCAGCTATACCAGTCCCAGCCTTCAAAAAGCCAAGAACTGAAGTCAGAAAACGAGCAGAAGTCGAAATAATGGATGCACGGTGAAATTAACAAAAAGCATAAACTTCTACTTCTCATTTTGATAGGAAACAATCCATTAATAGAGATCCAAGGGTAATGCAAACTGTATCTTCACAGAAAAACAAGGCCATTTAAAACTATCCCACGATATTAAAGTTATAAGGAAGGAATTAAGCCTATGTGCTAGATGTCTCTGTTCCACAAAAAAAGTAATGAAAAAATAATTTCACATAGAAGACAACTTGTTATTGCCGAGCAAAAAACATGAAAAAAAAAAAGTCATATGTCTTGTACCACGCTGTGCATTCATACTTAGGTGAATACTGATAATGAATAACATGTTCGAAAGCGGGAACCATTAAAAACAATTTAAGCTGATGGATAATCATTTTGGGGTGGTCGAGGGGGAGGTGAGGGGGTGGACTGTTATCGGAATTAACCTCTCCAGCACCGAGGAACAAGAAAGTGTGATCGGCTAAAGTCCCACCCACTACTTTCAAAGCTGCAATGAGTCCGGCTAGAACCACTGAAGCCGTACCCTGTGATGAAACAAGAAAACTATGAAGTTCTACAAAAGAAAACAAAAAATTTTCTCTACCAAATGACACTTCTAACAAATTTACCTGAATATCATCATTGAACACGAGATGAGTTGTGCGGTATTTAGAAAGTAGCTCAAAGGCATTGTGGTTTGCGAAATCTTCAAACTAGAAAAGTATGACAAAAATTCAGGTTTACGGAAGCAAAGTGCACAAATTCCTGTATGCAAAAAATTCCTTATACCTGTACTAGGATTTTCTCCCCGTAGTTCTGCTTAACTGCAGACATGAACTCATCCAGAAGCTCAGCATATTCCTGTATTAAAAACAGAACATTTGAAAACCATGTCAAACAAGAAGAAACAAAGTTAATTTGGGAAATATTTTGTAATTGATTTCAAAATCAATGTAAAAGGTAAATCACGAGACCTCGCCAGTTGCTCTGTTTTGCTTCAACCCAATGTAGAACTCATCATCCAATAACTTCTTATTATTTGTCCCAACGTCGATTGTTATGGGTAGGCACTGTGAAAGGTGAATGTAGAAAGTGAATTTCTGCAACCAGATAGCTAACTATTTGACCAATTCCTCGAAACTGGAACTTCAACACAGATGGCTAACATATTGAATTTTCATAGTTAACTATTATAACATGTTTAGTAGGGAGAATTGAAAGGCACCGGACAAAAAAGAGCTAAAATCTTGTTATTATAGTCCAATCTACTGATCTAAATTTTCAAATAAAGGTGTTCATCATATCAGCAAGTGTATTTACTACCTTATATGGCATAAATAGAAGTCTGTCCATTGAAATTTTCCAAAAATACCAAAAATATTGTAGGAAGAACAGGGTGATGATAGGTGAGTAATTTCAAAATAATGTTATCATCATGGAATCTTAAAAATTTGTGCTAATTTGTATTATGAATCGGATCTTAACCCAAAATTTAGTAACAGTTATGAAGAGCTATCACTTCATGTAGCATTAAAATTATTTGTATGAACAATCAAGAAAAAGAACGATAGGAAATATAACAAATTAGAGAACATTAATCAGAGATAAAAACAGAGTCATTTTATGCTTACAACTGAGGGACGAACACCTCCAAGAGCTGTATATAGGGAGAGTTTTCCCACAGGAATCCCCATACCCTGCAACATTTTTGAATGATTTTGATGAATAACATTAAGCCACGTGCACAGACAAAATGAGTCTCCATTTTTCAAGTTAAATATCACAATCGGTGCATTCATATAATATAAATTAATGAAATTTACCTGACAACCAAGATCCCCAAGCCCTAAAATGCGCTCGCCATCAGTTACAACTATAACTTGAATAGTCTTTTCAGGCCAATTCTTTAGAACTTCAAGAATCCTTCCCCTAAAATAGTCATATCAATTGACATCAGATAAAGTAATTGGCAGATAAAATATTTCGGCTTAACTTCATAATAGAGTATTAACTAATCAAAGAAAAGAAAAGATAACTAAGAGTACTTCTCTTTTAAGCTGATATAAAGACCCTGAGGGCGCCGGAAAATGCTTCCATACTTCTGGCAAGCCTCACCAACTGTCGGAGTATAGACAACTGGTAGCAGTTCTTCAACATTATCAATCAGAAGCTTATAGAAGAGCCTTTCATTTCTCTCCTGCAAGTTTAAGAACTAAAATTAGCATGTGAAAAAAAAAAAAATAGATTCCACACAATATTCACCATCATCAGCTATGAAACAAGATACATGGTCAAGAGTAATCAAAGTATCAAAGTACTATCCATCTGAACAAAGGCTACTAAGCAGTCGTACTCTGAACTTCTGTAAATGCATCTACTAATTGCATACATACAGGAGGTATCCCCATTTCAGAAAATGGAGGCCACCATGAAACACGATACCTCACTTTAGATTACTGGAAGTGTTCTGTATACTATAATGGCAAGTAATTTTAGTAGAAACGAGTAGGAAAGAGTAGCCAAATAAATAACCTAGCTCTGTATGCAGGTGTTCACAAACATTGTGGGATTTTTATAACAAAATTGATATCAAGACTAACATAAGATTGCACAAGTGACTGTGGTGTGTATTTTTGAAGGGGCGCATTTACCTGAAGGTCAATCATGGCCATATATCTTTGCAATGGGACTGTAAACTGGCGCAGATTGTGCATCAATCTCTTCTCCTGTAATCAAAATCGAACAGGGTTGATGAGTGGTCTATTTTGTATAGAAAAACAATAGGCTGCAGGATCGATCTCTATGGAAAGGTCTATCTGATGACCTGAAGTTCTTGAGTAAAAACGGCTGAGGGAAGAAGGCCTGTCAAGTAGTGAGCATCTCTTTCCTTGTCAGTGAAGGCAAGCCCTTTGTTGTGATGTGGATCACGCAACAATGTATAGCCGCTGAATAGAAGTATAAGCACTGCAAATCAGTTTCTTTAGCTAGAATATTCAACTCAGCAATTCCTTGGATTCTTAATTTAAGAATATTTTTAGCATATTGAAGATAAAGGGGGAAAAAGGGTAAATCCAACAACTAGAAGTCAAACGATTTATGTAACTAAGAAACAGATGCACTCCATAATTTCATCATCACTAATAAAGACAAAATGTGATTAAACATTATATCAAACAAGATGACGAGTCACGACTTCTGTTGCTATAACACGAAGTAGATCTTGTAAAGAAAGAGGAAGCATAGATGCATCATAGTCTCTCTACACAACAGGCACAATTCTTCATATAATCAAATCAAAGCAATAAACAGAACTAAATCAAATTATACGAAGAAAATCAATACAAATCACACAACTTGGAATATATTCTTTTAGATCAATTGCCCAAGAGAATACAAAATGAAACATCACATTTCAGTCATCTAGTCAAGAAAATAAGTCCATCGTCAATCAAAATTTCAAATATAAACACATAACGGAGCATTTGATTTTTATAGATCACCTAGCAACAGAAACAGTCCATGGGGTGATAAGTTGATCTTCGGAGGCCCTATCCTCACCATACACGTCCTTAACACCGCCACCTACACCAGCTTTATCTTCCATATCAAGAACTGGTTCACCAGTCATTTCCTTAAATGTGCTCTCCATCGATGAACCTATCTTTCTCTCTCCTTTCTTGTACACAGAAAACGCTCGTCTCTGCCAATGAAACAAACTGAAACACAAACAAGAAAAAATAACAACAGCACATAAAATTAGGAGTTCTTGAAAAGACAAACAGATTGTTGTGAGTTCTCTTGTTCTTGATTTCAAGAACTCAAAACACGAAAATGACGACATGACGAGATAAAATGCAGTTTCCTTTGATTTCTTGTTATTTATCAAGAATCCAGACAACCCACCTAGCCCAACAAACTGGGAAAAGAATCAGCTTTGTCAATTGAAATATATAACAAGAATGTGAAAGTGAAAAAATTATAGTTTATATTGCGTAAGTATGGAGAGAAAGCACAAGTGTGAAGAATACCAGAAAATTGGCTCCGTTGAATGGGATCATAACAAAAGATACATGTGGAGAATGCAATGTTATATACGTAAGTAATATGCGTCTCCTCAAATGTAGAGAGATAAAGTAGGAGCTTTGCGCGTTTTAGAGGGAAGGTGGAATTTACCAAATGGGGAGGCAAAGAATAAGAACAATCCTATCTACCACGTCTAGTTTGTCACAATTGATAGATTTTAATTGTCACAAATGAATAAAGGTTGAAGCTTTCTTTTCTGCCATTTTCTTCTCTCTGTTATATCCAGCAAAGCTGCGACTGCCTTCCCTTCTGTTTGTTTGTTGCTTCTTTTTTTTTTTCTTTTTTTTTTTCTGAAAAAAAGATTAGGGCCAAACTGTTACATGTACAGAATTTTATACAAATTCGTGGACAGAAATGAAGTGACAATTTTTTATATTAATATTATTTTACTCAAATTTTATAATTTCTTTGGAAGGTTAAAATCACTATAAAGTATCAACCACTCAATCCTAGCAAAAGTTCACATCAGTTGCCAAAATTTACTTTTTCCATAGTAATCACTAAATTAACGAATGTAAACATTAATTTTAAATAGATATTTCATAGAATCCACAAACACACACTTATTCATCACCCGTTTTTGGAAAAGAAAAATTTTAGTTAAAAAATGAAACCAAACTAGCATTTTCAATTTGATTTCTTTTATTTTCCTCTTTTGTTTTTATGTTTTTTTTTCCTTCTCTTTCACATGCGCATTTAATTGTTTTTGGAAGGATTTTGCACTGTACATGTTTAAGTTAATGTTAAGATAGAATATGTTAAAACTGGCCCCTCAGGACACATTCCAACTGACAAAGATGAAGGCGCTTCAAGGTTGGCAGATCAGAGGTCGTGAGTTCGATTCCTGGAAGGCTCTTGGAAGGCAGATATTCCCCTGGAAAGCAGGATTTATCTTGGAAGACAGGAGCTCTACTGGAAGGCAATATGCAAAGATGGAAAATGACTTGTTTGGCACTTTGACAGATCAGTTGGGGGGCTCTTGAGCACTGGTCAGTTTGGGGCATAACCTGCGGTTTAACCTGTCTGCAGTTTGAGGGGCCAAGGTGTGATTCCAGGATTTAGTCACTGTAAGGTGGATACTTGGATATCCAAAAAATAAAAAAGGTAATGTTATCTAACATCACTAATTTAATGATCACATATTGAAATTCCACCAAATACATTAAAATTTAATAATGTTATCTAACATCACTAATTTAAGAGCGTCAATCTAAGTGTTATAATTAATATGATGACTCAATTAAAAATTAAATTATATGATTCAGTTAATTGTGCTTATCATTTAATGTCACTTAGAAACAACTTAGCCCTTGTTTGAGTTCTATTTTAAGTGAAAGAATGCATTTTTAAATAGTGGCCGATTGAGAATATGTAGTTAAAAATTAAGAAAAAAATTTGAATTTGCGTTTAATATTATTTTATTGAAAAATTTGTTGTTGAAAATAAGTTTTGAAAAAAATAAATTTTGAGAAGAATGAGGCTCAAATAAGGACTTAGATTGATTATCTGTTACGCTAAATAGCATTACGTATTTTCAATTTCTTTATTTTAAATTGCTTATTTCAAAAGAGAAATCAATGTCAACCTTTTACACCACGTTGCTTAGTCATAAGATGGTGACTTTTTTGGCATTTTCTTCAAGCGGCTTCTATGAGCCACGTCTCTTACCTAAGTCCTTCTATTTTTATTTTTATTTTTATTTTTATTTTTACTTGATGCAAAATTTTTTATTATTTTAGAAAGAAAGGAAAAAAAAAATCGAGAAAGCGGGATAATAATAATTCGAGAGTATACAAAATTCATCTCGTTAGTTTCTATTATTATGTTTGGTCGGATATCGTCACGTTCAAAACATGTAGTATATGCTTTTTGTTGGAATTTTAATTCAAAGAAAAACCATTAATTGAACCTTTAATATGATGGCCCTTTCTATTGTGGCTATTTGCTGAATGTTTTACAGAGAAAACCACCAATTAATTAAACATTAATATGATGGACCAAGTAAACCGCACAACTAGTTGGACTACCCTATTGCTTTGAGATTTAATTTAGAATAATAATAAGTGACTTATTTTTTATTTTTTTTAAAGTATTTTAATCATCATTGTACTTTCTGAAGTATTTTTCAATCACCATTGAACTTTAAAAAATTCCGAGTTATCATTAAACTGCTCAAAATGTTTTCATGCCATTGAACTTTAAAATATCTCTAAGTTGCCACTGAACTTTTTCAAAATATTTCCCAGATGTCATTAGACTTATCAAAATATTATTCATCTGTCACTCGTCGTTTTAACAGCCAAAGGACAATATGACAAGATAGATAGAATAAAGATGGGATAACATTTTGATAAATTCATCAAGTTCGTTAACATTTAAATGATGAGTGACAGGGTGACAAAGAAAATTACATTTTAGTAATTCAACGGACATGGAGAGCATTTAAAGTTTGATGACAATTGTGAAACATTTAAAAGAGTTCAGGGGGCAATTCTGATATACCTAAAATTATTGGAGTGCTTAGATAAAATTTCAATAATCTCATTCATAGTCAGTAAATGCAGTAGTCATTCTGCATGATATCTTATGTGACATAATTTTAATGTACAATATATTAAAAGGGAGGGTTGAGGAAAAACTTTTAATTACTAATTTTATCCTTGCATATTTAGCTATAGGTTCAATGTACCCTCATTTATCTTTATATCTTTAATTTTCCATTTTACCCTTACATTTTTATGTTTATGGTCAATAATACTCTTAAAATTGAGTTTCTTTCAACTAAATTCGATTATTATTAATATTAAAATTAGTTATTTTTTTAATATTAAGTCAATTAATTTTCACTAAACACTATTATGACTAATTATTGGTGTATGATTAGTAAAAACTTATTTTAAAAAATTATAACAATATTACATATATAATTAACATGAAATGGCATAGACTTTTAAGTCAATTGATATTAATATATAGAAATTATAAAAATAATAAAATTATATATACTATAAAAAATTTGGATAAAATTTTTGTACAAAATTTGGTTGACCAAATTGTTTACTCACTCTCACATGTATGCGGGTCCCCTTTGCATTAAAAAATTCGATCATGTGATCCCTGTCATTCTATTGTAAGAGTGTGTAAAACTTTTAGTACAAATGTATTTATACATGTAGCACAATCCAAAAAATTTTAAACCTAGTATTACATATTAAAATAATATTGTATTCCTAAAAGATTCCAACGATAATAAGATAAAATAGTTAAAAAAATCCCCATCAACTAACATTCACTTGACAAATATTAGATGAAAAATCATTTTCTAATAATCTATCAACTCTTTAATCACCATTAATTTACATTAATTCGATAAACAATGAGACAAAAAGTCATTTCTTAGTAACCTGATTGGATAGATGATAAACATTTTGCTTTTGTATTTTTATATTTATGGTGAACAATATCGTTAATGTTCAATTTATTTCTTCTAAATAAAATAATTAATAATTATTATTGCTTTCAAAAATTAAGTCAATTAATTTTCAGTAAACACAATTATCACTAATTATTAGACACAATTAGTAAAAAAAAATTATTATATACAATTAAAAGAAATTACAATAATACTATTTACATATAATTAACTTGAAATGGCATATTTTATTAAGTCGATTGATATTAATATGTAAAATTTATTAAAAAATCACTTACACAATTGATTTTTTTCAAACCTAACAATACATATTAAAAATAGACTAAATAGTATTGCATTTAAAAAAAAATCTATTAAAAATAATAAATTCAATCCGTAGTTGCTATCTTTAAACCTTTTTATTAATCAAATACATAATTTTAGAACATTTCATTTTCGATAATATAAATATTTTGTTTTGAATTGATATTTTACGATAAGAGCTTTAGACCAAATGAAGGAAATAAATGAGAAAAATTATATGAGAACTTCGTTATGAATCAAGTCTCAAATATCAATTTATCATTCGTAATCCATCACTCACGGATCACATATTGAGCATGTGTTTGTAAAATATGTTTTCTTTTCTATCTTACTATTTCTAAATAATTGTTGATCTGTAATATGTTAATAACTATTTATCAATTTATTTTAATTAAAATTATACTACTTCTATGATGATAGGATATCTAAATGTGGTCTCTTTTGATCAAAATAATGGCCAATCTTTTTTATAAGGCACAACAACCAGTCATAGATTTTTTATTTTTATTTTTTGTTTATGATAAACTTTTCAATATTGTGAATTATGTGAAGCTTTATTATATTGGATAGTTAATTTTGAATTTATCTTCTACAAATACTCTATTTTTTAATCAAAAATTACTTGCATCTAGTTGTCCAATTCAGTACAAAAATTTTCTTTGTTTGTTCAAGTTGAATTCTGTATATTTTGTCCTTATAATATTCATTGATATTGGACATGTTTTTTCTCCTTGTTGATCCAATTGTACAGTGTGCAAATGTTAGTTTTGAGGAAGTGAAAATTCTAATGTACATTTTCATTTGCAAGGATTTATGTATGAGTTGTTAGTTTGGAAAGCAGTTTGGTACTTATTAAAATTTACATTTTTTTTTACTTAAACATTGGATAATAAATAAATAAAAAATCATCCAAATTTAAAATTAGACTCTCCCTAATTTCGAGTGGTCATGTTCTCATAATTTTTACCCTTACAAGTTTGATTCAATACACATTTCCATAAAATATTTAATAATTCTGGATTTATTAATTTTATTGAATATTGTCATTCTCTTAATTTACATTCACTTAGTATTGTCACCTTTAATTCACAATAAAAATATTTTTTTTTTAACTAAATTATGACTAATAATCATTAAGAAGGCTCTTGAATGTATAGCCTCCCAACCCCCCCTCCCAACCTTTTTTTTGACTATTTGGTTTTGACACAAAACTATATTTAAAAATTAATTATGTAAATTAT